ATTTCTTTGTTATTTGTTTGGCTGCCTGTTTAGAGGAAATTGCTGCTGCTGCTGCAAACAAACGTGATTTCCTTTGGCTGTTGGTATAAACAAAGTTGCTCAAGTGCTTTCTTGGGGCATTCCTTCCCTGCTTCACTGTACAGGGTGCCAGCTCTCTCCCACCGAATGACTAATGCAAAAGCCACATTTCCTTTCCGGGGTTGTCTGGAAAAACTCACCCTGGTTAAGTTAGGGAAATAGAGTCATAAATAACATGAGTTGCCCTCTAACAAAACACTTTGTTTCAGTATTTTTGTCTCGAGAGTGGTAAATACAAAAGTTATATCCTGCACCCTCCCCTGTGTTTTTGTGGTGCAATTAAACCAGCTTTAATTTAGGCTTAATCTTCGCAATGCAATGGTCATACACGTATGAACCAACCCCTCACTTTGGGATGATAATCGAGGGGAATCCCAGACACGTGGCCAGGTCAAAAGTGAATCAGCGAGTCCGCCACGCTGCACGTGTCCTTATTCTGCCACAATTATATAGTAATGACCCACTCAATTCAAGGCAAATCCAATTTTATCGATTTCTATATAAGTTGTTAGGGGGAGGCCAAAAAGAATGGGAATATGATTGTAATATTGCATTTTATTAGGAACAATGGAGACTAAATTATTACAAAATCTTTACACAAAAGAAGGTTAAATATCCTGCAAATAAAATATTTTATTTCTATAGATTATATATATTTATATCTCTTGAATATGTCCCTCTCTACAACTACTTCATATATTGACAGTCTGCCTCATTCATCTATTATTTCCTAATTGCTGCGGGGTATGCTCTCCTCCACCCGGCCTTTAAAGTAGATTTCCTGGAGTCTATCTGTAATACCCCTTTGTCAAGCTCTCTAAACACGTTCTATGAGGCGACGCAATTTATGCAAATGTCGTTCAATTCAAAGTCCCAGACCAGGAGAAAGAGACTACTAATATATGCATGCTCAGAGGCTTCCGTTACGAGACGAGAACTGAAGAATTAGAGAATCAGAGAATTGAAGAAGTGTATCGGAGAAGCTCGTTCCATTTAAATTCTTTTGACCTGACTCAATCAAGAGAAGCTTGATGTCCAGTTCGCTTCAGTTGAGATCTGAAAATTCTGTAAATTGACTTGAGCCTCAATTAAGACGATCATTATGAATGCTGATGTTGATCATCCACTGACCACTTGAGTTACTGCATAGTTAGGAACTAACTTGGAAAGGTAAGAAACTACTTACTTGGCAATTGCATTTGAATGCAGTTTACTTGACTCTGGCCAAGTTGATCCGGCTCCCACGCCAAGCCCATTTAAGACCCCAACAATGCCGCATATTAATGATCCTCCTGTCTTGCCTTTTGCTCGTGATAATGATAATGGTAAGTTGTTCAACTTGGGTAAACAAAGGGCGTGATAAAGAAAACAAGCCAGACCTCTAGCTGTTTTGGGGGCGTGTTTGATGAAGTCCCAAGAAAGGCATGGGAATTATATATAGAATCATGTAAGCTGACAGGAAATGTACGAATTAAGTCTAATAATTTACCAAATTAAGCTGCGGTCTTTTATTATAAAGATCAAATAATGATATATTTTTAAGAAAGTATTGAAAGTATTTCACAGTCTCTGTTTGATATAACGCATACAAAATGATATGTAACCTTTCTAAATATAATAGTAAAAAACAAAAACCGTAATTTAATGTTCCTCTGAGTTAATAACAGTTTATTACATTTTTTTTTGATAATTATCTGGCCAACCTCCTACTCAATTTTGAGTAACGAGTCTTACCTCATCTAACCGCTTACTTTCGGCCATTTCGGCCTGTGGCTTATGCTTGCTGTTTTGCCATATATGTAATTGCGCAAATGACATAAAAATTGTTAAGAAAACGCCAGCCAGTTGGCAACACAAAATCAAACAATGGCAGCAGCTTAACCGCGAACAAGAAACGAGTTGCCAAAAGAAGTGTTGGCCAGAATATGGAGGTTCGAGTATGCGCCTAAGGCGCTGACCTTTTGGGGCCAGAACTGATGACAATGAAAAACACGTAAAAAGTGAATACAATCGTCCGAATGTATTTTCATGTCTATAAAAAATTATTAAGCGGTACCCAAGAAGCGTTGGAACAAATTGTGACCGACAAAGAGGCCTTTTTTTCCATGAAGTAAAAGGAAAAAGTGGAAGAAGAAAGTTTTTAACTGACAGATAAATCTGCCACAATGAGAGTAAAAGTGAAGCACAGCACTGCATTTAAAATCGATTTTTACTTTTGTAGCTTTTTGTGTTTTTTTTTTGTTTTGCGCACAAGGGCCAAACGAATCATTTGAGTTGGTAAATGTAGTGCTACGTGAGTGAAGGTAATCAGTAAATTAGCATGGAAAGTGCTGCCCTAGGGGCGCCTTTTCTATCTGGGAACTACGTGAGATTTTGATAAACGCGACACTCAGATAAGCTAAACGCCCAACCTGCCAATAGCCAAACACCCCGGATGGCACTCATCAGAAATGGGCAAAACAAAGCGAAAGCCACTCCACAGATAACCAAGTGGCCAAAGTGGCAGTGGCTCGCAGGGTTCGGGGAGGGGGTTTGGGTGGGCACAGAGATGTCGCAGTCCCTGTCTATATGTCTCTGTCGCAATCCAGAGGCCCTGCAACGAATCTCTAGTCGAAGTGGCCAGCCAGCGTCAAAATCAACAAAATAGAAGCTGGTTTTTCAAGGTTGTTCGGATGGGCGAGAGTTTAACAAAGGCGGGTTTGGGGGGTTTAATCAGGGAAATGGAACAGGGCACAGTGGTAAAAATTACGATAAAAACCTGGGAACAAAACTTCTTAAAAATGTATACACTTAAAAAATATATTGCTAGCTGCAAGGCACTTTAATCAAATTGTTTTTTGTATGTCAATGGCAGCCTTAGCAAGTGTGATTTGAGGCAATAAAATCTAAGTTCTCAGAAAACTCAGTACCCAGAATAATCATGATAATCTAATAGAAATCTAGGCAAATAGTGAGTACACAAAGGCTTCAAACAACTTGTATGAAAATTTTTCTATCACAACATTGCTTAATTTGATATTAAATATAATTTTATAAAGCCACGTGACTAGTGATCATTAAAATATTTTTCTATACCTTATCAATACAAAATGGCGTTGTTTTTAAGTATTTGGCATTAATTAATTGAAAGTAAACTAAGTAATTATAATCTATGTTAGAATTTATAGAATTTATTTGGAATGTTTTAACATATTTCTATTAATATAACCCTTTATCAATTGACTTTGCATGGGAATCCCATTAGCATTTGCCTAATGCGATTTTAATTGTCAAAGCTTTTATGTGCCTCGATTTGGAAATAGCCCGGCCCCAAAATGAATCACAAACTGGTAGTTTATCTAACTAATTATACCCGTTACTCGTAGAGTAAAAGGGTATACTAGATTCGTCGGAAAGTATGTAACAGGCAGAAGGAAGCGTTTCCGACCCCATAAAGTATATATATTCTTGATCAGGATCACTAGCCGAGTCGATCTAGCCATGTCCGTCTGTCCGTCTGTCCGTCTGTCCGTCTGTCCGTCTGACCGTCTGTCCGTCTGTCCGTCTGTCCGTCTGTCTGTCCGGATGAACGCTGAGATCTCGGAAACTATGAGAGTTAGGCTATTGAGATTTGGCGTACAGATTCCTGAGCTTCTTACGCAGCGCAAGTTTGTTTCAGTAGACTGCCACGCCCACTCTAACGCCCACAAACCGCCCAAAACTGAAACTCCTACAGTTTTGATGCTAGGTAGAAAATTTTAACTGAAATGTATTGTTCTCATCAATACCTATCGATTGACCTAAAGTTTGCCACGCCCACTTAAACGCCCACAAACCGCGAAAACCTGTGACGCCCACAATTTGGATGCTAGATGAAAAATTTGAACTGAAATGTATTGGTGTCGTCAATACCTATCGATTGATCCAAAAATAAATTTGCCACGCCCACTCTAACGCCCATAACGCTTAAATCTGTCTACCGCTTTTTATTTTCGCTTTGCTGCTTGCATATCTCCTTTTCCCTTTGAGTAACGGGTATCTGATAGTCGAGATACTCGACTATAGCGTTCTTCCTTGTTTTCACATTCCAATGGTGGTTTGTGGTACCAACACTTCTTCAAATTGTTATCTATTTTGCGAAATAAATTTAACACATTCTTTTGGTGAGCTTTTTTAACCACTGTACTTGTGCGTGTTTGCTGGTTGAACTTGATTAGGCAAAAAACTCGATTCGGATCAGCAAAAAATATTGATTGGAGTTGGTTTAACCCTACTCTTAGGAAATTAAAGTAAAGTATCTTTAAAATATTGTAAGGCACCTAGGGAACACGATGTTCAACTAACTTTTTATTTTAATTTTTTTGTTATTTGTTTACTAACTTTTTATTTTAATTTTTTTGTTATTTGTTTACATAAATAAAAACATACAGTGCCACTTTTTTAGGACATAAAAAGTCAATTGTTTCTGACGACATCTGTTTACATTTTCCCTGAAGGGACCTGCCACTTCTATCATATCACAACAACATCTGGCACCATTATTAAAACTTTATGAAATGATATCCGAAAAAAATTCAATTACTGTGAGCCTAGTTATCATAGTTCAACTTTTTTTATTATGGTTTATTAATATAGTTTTTGCCTAAAAAGTCTTTTTATAAATTGTTTTAAAATTCTTTTTCAACAAGTTGTTCATGGTATAGATGTGGAATTTATGTTGAAACCAAAAATATCATTTTTTGAATCAATTGTCAATAAAATTAGATCTTTATTATAGAAATTAAAACCATTTTTGATAAATTCTTATAAAGTTGGTTTGTATTTCTATAGCAACCAGAAAAGTGAAACACCATTTGAGATAATTTCACCTGTGGGTTAGCGAAGACAAACAAGGTAGTGTTTGTGATGTTTTCCCCCAGGACTTTTCCCCAAACAGCACTCACCTTTTGGCTTTTGGAACGCTGTTGCTTCCGCCGGCTGGAAAATGTGTCGTTGCAAGCATGTGTTGAGCAGCAGCAGCGGTAGCAGAACCAAATGCAAGTGCAACATCTTTAGATCGTTGCTATAGAGCTGATTTCGATGGCGATGCAGGGAGATATTTGCTTTTTTGCTGGCGATAGTAAAACTTGCAGTTGCCGCGGGGCCAAAGTGGTGACATCACACTTCCTGCAGCATCTTTTGATTTTGTTTAGTTGGGCGGGGGTTTGTATTGGTTTGGGTTTACTTTTTAAAAACAGGAGGGGGACTTTCGAAACAAACTCTCTTGCAACATTCAAAAATAAACCGTGCTTTGGAGAGCAACAACTAAATCACGCGCGTAAATCGAGAACAAAAACAACACACATTCACAAATTGCTGCTGCTATTATAACGGCTTTTGTTTGGTGCTCTGTTTTGCTATCTGTTGTTGGCTCTCTCTTTTCAGCACCCCTCTCGCTCTCTCGTGCTTTGCAGAACTTTTGGCCTTGCCTTCCTATTGGAATTTTCTAATCTGCGAGGCGTCTTTGTAGCTCAACTTATAATCACACGCTATCTTTAAATCAAGCGCGGCACATACTCGAATCGGTGCCAGGTTAGCCTTTATTTTCGGGGGCTTTAATTCAATTTGCTTTCAGCAATCGGATCACACACACGAAATGCACAGACACACACACGCGAAAAGAGCAGCGACCGCGACGCAAACAACCAACCAGTTCCCTGCCCGAGTTTGTTTTGAATCGAGAGTTTGCTAAAGGTGGACAAGCATCAATGTAACATGTAATCGATGTAACATCGATGTTATCGATGTTTTCAAAGCATCGGTAACATCTTACATCCTTCCATCTGTTTTCCGGCGGCTGCTCTCTCGCTCTCGGTTTCTCTTTCCGGAGAACAAGTGCGAAAATCTTTAATCTCGCTTTTTTACTGACACTTACGGTTGTTTGCGGTTGCTTACGTTCAAACACAAAAATACTGAAAAAAACGATTTCGATGATTTTCCATCTCTAATTCGGATATCCGTTTTTGCCATCCCTGGTTCCGAGCTTCGATAAGTGCATAGCACGGACTCGACCCATAATGAGCATGCCTTTTACCAACACTTTAGCGTATTTTTAAAAAATATATTTACAACTTTAAGAAAGACACCGACATTGGCGGATACACCCACCACTTTTGAAAACGTATCTCAAGCCCAAATACAGTCTAACTTCCATAAGTTAACAATTATCTCTTTAAACAAATTCGAAGTACACCCAAATTAAAATAATAAAGTAAAAGGTGAGCTTTATATTAACAGGGGCTTTTTGACTTTTTAAATGACTTTAAAAAAGATGATTTAATACTTGTTAAGGCTGGTAAGGAAAAGGGAAACATTTTTGACTAACTGACTGGACTTAGATGAAAAGGTCACAAAACATCACAACCTAGATGACAAGGGGTCTACAGAACAATAACATTTTATGAAATTAACATTTAACATATTTTTAAATCCAATTCCGAAATAAGCCCACTCAGCTTATCAAAATACATTTGAATTTCAGTTGGGAACCGTTGAAGTGTGCTTTCAGTGTGACCGCTTCTCTCCCAAGTTCTGAACCATGGCCAGGTAACAAAAATGGATTTCCGACCCACTCGAATACGGTCGCCCTCACAACCCAAAAATGGTCCTATTGTTTATGTACAAGTTCAAAACAAAATCGGGCAGCGAACGGTAAACGTCGCTGCGTCGGACGTCTTCGATTTCGTGTTTTGTGTTCGTTGTCAACCACCCTCGCCGGCGAATCCGCCCCTGGCAGAAAACGAGTGTTTTTACGCTTTTGCTGAATGAAAAGGATCGAATATCCCGGTTAGCAGGGGCCCACTGTGCCGCACGATTGCAATGAGTAGTCCTACAGAATGCACTCGCTGCACGGACGGTTCATGAGAATTTGACATTTAACTGCAGTTCGGCTTGGCAGATTTTTTTTTGTTGGCTTATTTGTTGTATTTTGTGGCGTGGGCTAAGATTGGCGGACACACCCACCCGAAAACAAAAACAAAAAGTAGTCCAAAGGCCCCAATAACTGTGCATGTGTGTGTGGTGTGTGCCCAAGTGCTGTTGTGTGTGTGCGAGTGAGAGGAAAGGGATTCGAATCGAGCCGGTTTTCGCGAGTTAATTGACAAAGCAAACGGAGAAAAAAACACACATCAAACATAAGCAAACAACGGGAACGGGAAAACTAAACAAAGGCGATTATAAAAGAACTGCCGAGATGTTCCAAGCAAACTGAAAATCCTAAATCATATTCATCCTGCGGATGCGAGGGAGACCACAAAAATGCTCAATACCCTATAATTAGCTCCGTTATTCCAACCCCAAACATCATGGCCAAAATCCACCCGCCCCCGCGCCCCCTCGCAAACATGGCCAAATTCCTGGCAGCCCTCGTCATCTGCTCTTGGCTCTTCGTTTCGGCCACCGCTCACAACTGTCAGCATCAGCATCCAAAGGCCCATGAGGTGAGTCCGAGTCCCCAGTATGTTTGCCCTCTCTTCATCCTCATCCTCTTCCCTTTCCAACCAAAACAAATAATGTCCGGGGAAGGGGTTATTTCGGGAACCAGAGTTCTCCTCACCTGTGCACGTGTGCAAAACACTTCCAAGGGACTACTTAACCGCAACTATTTCACAAAATCGATGCCAGCTTAGTCAGTTTTACAGACCCTTGAAAGGGATTTTTGGGATTTCTGTGCTTTAATCGGGGGTTATAGATTCATGTATTGAAGCGGGATTTTCAGTAATCATACCTGCAATCTTTAATATTTCTGCATAAGAAAGTCTTGCCTTAATTTTAAGCTGATTTAATTCCAACCCAAAGCGTAGACCTTTAAGCAATTAGTCTTACAGATCCTTCAAAGGCATTATCGGAATTTCTGTGCTTTAATCGGGGGTAAAGATTCCTGTCTAAACCATCTTTGGGAAATACACAATACTGAAGCGGGATTTTCAGTAATCATACCTGCAATCTTTAATATTTCTGCATAAGAATGTCTTGTCTTAATTTTAAGCTCATTTAATACCAATCCAAAGATTAGACCTTAAAGCAATTGTTTGTAATAAACGCAACTATTTCACAATGTTGATTCCAGCTTAATCAGTCTTACATATCCTTGAAAGGGATTTTCGTAATTGCTGTGTTTTAATCCGGGGTTGTAGATTTTTGCTTAGGCTGTCCCTGGGGAATTTTCAGTTAAAAAAGGGATTTTCACTAACCATGTAGTCAATTTTCTGCATTAGAAAGTCTTTTCTCAATTTTAGGTAATCATTTTCATACCAGACCAACGCGCAACTAATGCACCAAGCTTAGACAATACTACAGATTTTTGAAAGGTTTTTTTTAGAACTGTTTTACTTTTACTGGGGGCTATAGATGTCTGCTTAACTTATTGCTAGGAAATTAACAATCGTAAAAAAGAGATTATCTTTGATTATCTCAATTATCCCAATTTAGTACTAACTCAAAGATTATACTTTTAGAGCAAATTCAGCAATTGTATAAATCTCAGCAAATTTACTGGGAAACACTGCAAATACAAAATAGTTTTCGTGACACCGACGGAATTCGGATTTATTTTACTATGGTGATTAAATACATTATTGCACTTAAAAAAATATGGAAACCTGACGTCATAAAAGATAAAACCATTTTTATGTTTTAGTTACAAACGTGTTATAGGTGTTTTTGAAGTACTAGCAAAAATCATGTTTGGCATTGCAGGAAGATTAAAATTTAAACTTGAAAATGCCTTTTACAAACTACCAGCTTTGCGGGAAATTTCGTTTAGTGTTGATGTAACGATAAAATGCCACTTGTAGGTGCATGGAAAAATCCGTTGGAAAACCCAGAATCGAAAAAACCACATAATCACGGAAAATTGGGCTTTCGGTGCTCAAATTTCTGGCTTGCTGTGGGCTCCGGGCCTTCAGGCCTGTGTCCTTTGTGCTCGTTAGAGAAAGTTCCTAATTGGTACTGTGTTTTCAGGGTAAGTTCATAATTGATTGGTTCTGCTCTGCGATGGAATGGAAAAAGGCCTAATTAGTGCAATGCTGAGAGAGGGGGCCACTAAAAATTGCCGTTCTCATGATTCTGGCATGGAAACATAAATTGAAACAATAAGCAGGCGGCGATGGCAACCACAGCTTATTGACTAATTCCACCGGATGATAATAATATGCGCATTCGAGATTCAGTATTCAGTATTCAGTCAATGTGCAATGTGGTTTCGAGTCAGGTGGTGGCTGCACATTAGCAGGTAACTCATAACTGGTAACCCACCGTGGTGGTGGTTACCAAACCGCCTACACCACCTGCACCACATCCACTGGTCTAGTTAGGGTTTAATGTCATACTCTGTCCGCCAACTTGTTGCTCTGGCTTCCCTGGTTTAGTTTGAGATTCAGATTCAGATTCGGATTCGAGTTCAGCCGGGCTTTTGTTTTTCTTTAAGGGGTTTTTCGCTTACTCTATACTGCTTTCCAATCAACAGCATTTTAATTGGCGCGTCGCCATAAATAAAGGTCGCAGTCAATTGCGCAAAAGGGGGAAATTTACATGATTACTGTATCTGTAGCGAGTGCGGTACAGTCAGCCCTCAGAGGTTGCAACTTCCAGCAAACCGGAAATTGCAGTTTTGCAAGTGTAACATTTTTTAATATATTTGGAGATGTGTGTATGTGGAGATATTTTATGTAAAAAGAAAACTTTGTGCTTCAAATTTTAAACCAGCTGACCTCGAACACCCTACACAAAGTAGAAAAGTCGACAAAAACCACAAATATACTTTGAGATTATTTTGGAAAATAAACACTTGACCTATCCAATAACATTAAAAGTCCTTAAAAAAGATGGTTTCGCTAAGTAATTCAATTTAGCAAAAACGTAAAAAAAAGTTTTAGTTAAAAGTAAATAAAATTTTTTTAAACTTTTCTCCTACAGAACTTTTAACATAGAAAAACATGTTTAAATATCGAACTTTCCAACCGCAAATTAACATATTAAGCCCCGGGAAAATAGGGAAAAAAGTTGCAACCACAAGGTGTTAATTAGCGAGTAACCACAGTGGTTTTGGAACAAGTAAAAGTGAGCTCGATCGGCAGACAGGCGAGGGAAATTAATTCAGCGACTGTCTGTCGATGGCTAACGATGCTGTCGAGGTCGCCCAGCGTGTAATTAATTGAATTATCTGTAACTTAAACTGTTATAAATGCAGGGAGCCGTCGTCGCCCAGATTGTGTCTATCTCCCTGCCAACTGAATGTTCCGACTGTCTGCCCACTTAAAAACCATCCTGTCGAGAACAGTGATTGTGAAAGAGGATAAACACATATATAACTGATGGAGGCAGAGTCCAGCGACCGAGTGGGCGAACGACCCCAAAAATAAGTGCCTCCATGCAAAATACCGGTCCAGTTGAAGCCGCAGCACTCGATTCTAATTAGTCTTATATAAATCGAAGGAAGGCAGCTGAAAGCTGCGAGAACAAGAGCAATAATGTGTAAAATTCCTCAAATTGAATCGTTTGTCACGTTGCCAGTTTGCGTGTGCGCCTGTCAGCGATGTCGCGCACTGTACTGACCCTGGGTAATCCGATAAACGCGAACCCAAAGTGCTCTTTAAACTTCCGAAAAGCTGCCAGTTTAAATACATTTTTGGCTTTCATTAAGCT